CACCTTGAGCCCGCCGTGTGATTCATCTCAATTATTATAATGGTAGTTATTTTTTATTTATTTTTATATTTTTCATGGAATTCCATGAAACTTTTCATGGACGTCCATGGAACTCTTCATGAAATATTTCATGGAAGTCCAAGGAGTCAAGGAGTTCCATGAAATGCCATGAAATGTTTCATGAACGTCCAAGGAGTTTCATGAAAAATTCCATAGAGCTCCATGGACTTCCATGAAAATTTTCATGGAATTCCATGAAAAATATAAAAATAAATAAAAAATAACTACCATTATAATAATTGAGATGAATCACACGGCGGGCTCAAGGTGCATCTGCTCCAAGCCGAAAGAAAAGTTAGTGGTGAAAACCATCCTCCACCCATCAGCAGAGCCGCGGGACAATTTTGGGGGGGGCGGGGACATATCCCCATGTATCCTCGGGTTTTCCGCCGACGCGTCGACGCTTCGGCGTCCCGCCCTCGCATGGTTTGCATTATCGCTGGCGCTGAGTAGCTGTGGAGATCGCAGAGAGATGGCAGACACGCCGTACAATACAGGGTCGTCTTCGCAATGTTCTCATGCATACCCCCACGAGAATCGAGGAGCAGCCGCTAGCCCGCCAGTCGACCGTGTAGCCTATTGGTCAAGTCAAACGTAAGGAGACGAACGCTACGAGTAGATTTGCGAGACTGTGTTCCCTTTCGTGCAGTGCTAGAAGCAGCAATTTTTCCATGGGCGTTCATGAAACATTTCATGGATGTCCATGGGCTTTCATGAAACTTTTCATGAACGTTCATGGATGTTCATGAAACGTTCATGGATTCATGAAATGTTTCATGTACGTTCATGGGCTTTCATGAAATGTTTCATGAACGTCCAAGACCATGGACGTTCATGAAACATTCCATGGACGTTGTTCATGGATGTTCATGAAATATTTCATGGAAGACCATGGACGTGCATGAAACATTCCATGGACGTTCATGGATGTTCATGAAATATTTCATGAAAGACCATGGACGTGCATGAAACATTCCATGGACGTTCATGGATGTTCATGAAATATTTCATGAAAGACCATGGACGTCCATGAAACATTCCATGGACGTTCGTTCATGGGCGTTCATGAAATATGTCATGAACGTTCATGAAAGCATGTCATGAACGTCCATGAAATTAAAACATGAAATGTTTCATGACAAGGAGTAAAATTATTTCATGGAAAGTTTCATGACAAAAATGTCATGGACATCCATGGAACTTTTCACGGAATGCCGTGAAAAGTTTCGTGAAAAGTTTCATGGAATTCCATTGACTTCCATGGAATTCCATGAAATGTTTCATGATAGACCATGGAAGTCCATGGAAGTCCATGAAATTCCATGGACTTTCCATGGACTTCCATGAAAATTTTCATGAAAAAGTACGAAAATGTACAAGCCCCGCTGCATGTTGGATGTGCATCGATCGGAGTCTCGTGTACCGAGACCCAGGTCGTGGGGTGAGCAAGAGGCTATCGGCACTAGCAGCCCACAAATCGTAGATAGATGCGTTATTTCCCCCACCGGCCGTGGCAGCAACTAATGTACTTATATTGTATGCTATGCATACCATTTTGTGTCGTCTTGTTTTTGTAGACTATATCGTAGAGGGTCCGCATCATCACCATCGTATGCAACAGATTATTTTTTCCTTTGCACATCCCCCTGCACATCATGCGCACACGCCTACACAAATTTATACAGAACGGAGAACGAACGCATTCAGAGATCCGATGAGTTTCTTTCGCGTTCCGTGTGTGCCAGCATGTCGCGGTTTCTCTCTTCTGAACGGCTGGCCGTTTTCCTTGTCCGCTTTCCGATAAATTCTTTCAAACAAAGTTCGGACTAGCGATGGTCTGGAAGGCGGTTGCCATGATATGCGGAGACATTTGTTTTGCTGTCGGTTGATCCGTTGGCGTGCGGAGTCCCTCTGCCCCCGCTCTCGCCACACACAGACATCATGCAGAGTACATCATCATCCACAGCCTTTCCAAAACTCAGCAGGGTGGTGTCGTTAGGTGCCGGGTACGGCTGTACCGTAGGAAACTTACGCCGTTGCCTCCGGCGATCCTGTTTCTTTCGCGGCTGCATCGTGGTCTACTAATCGTTGTCGTGCGTGCTCGATTTTGACCATGTACCACTTCTTTCGGGTACAACATATCCTGCACAAGTTTAGGTGCTCGCGCAAGCTCGCGACATACATTCTTGTATTCGGCTTGTGACCACAGAAGCCGTCCCTTCGAAGGTACTGACTGGGCAGCGACCGGGACGAAAGAGTGTAAATGCGAATACATGACGGTGACCGGCGGATCTCTCTAACTTCATTCCCCATTTTCAATTGTTCACTGCACCTCCTGATTCGGCCCTCCATGTCCGCCATCGAGCGGTGATCTGTTTGCAGTGAACTCAACCGGCCGTCTAATCTACCCCGCGGCTACCAGCTAATACCAGCAACTGCTTCAGACTGCCATCGACGAAGATACTCATTGCGTTGATCTATTTTCACAAGGCATGCAGAATAATATGGCATGACTTTCCTCGGCGGATCGCGGAAATGGTGTGAATTAAAGTTTATTGCGTAGAGTGAATTCGTCCCAGATGAGGACCTGGGTGGGTGAATGAACTATGTAGGGTGTGCATTGGTGCCAACCTAGAAGAAGGTGAACTGCGGCATGCAAACCATACGCTAGAACCGCCAATCAACGGCGTTTTGATTGAACCTTG